ATTAATTTTAATCATTAAATAGGGAAATAATGCATATTCGTTAGTTTTGACCACATATAGAAACCAGAAAAATGTCCCGTTCTTGACCAAGCCAAAGTTACGAAAGTGGCATATTTGCTAGTTTGCATCAAACATTTTAAGTTTTTAGGCGTGCATTTTTACGAATCTTCATATAAATAAATAATTATTTTTTATTAAAGTATATTTATAAGTACAAAATAAAATCTTATTGTTAAAAATGATAATTTACTTGTTAACCCTTTGAATGCCACTGACGCTAAGGACTAGCAGCGTATTTTAAATATTAATAACGGATGCGTGCATAAGCATGAAAATGAGATTCTTCTTCTTCTTCTTGTCGAATCAATGGCGATCTCGTCAAATTTTGTGGGCCCAGAATTCAGCCACCCTAACCGCTTCTGTGGTAGCGGGTAGCATCAGGTCTTCGCGTGTGCAGGTGCTGGGGTACGCGGTTCAGGAAATAAGGTGTAAGTAAGGAATGCATTGTCTGGGAGGAGGCACCACACTCACACGTGTTGTTGGGGCCGTCAGTATAGCCCCACCTGACCAGACTATATTTGCAGCGACCGACCTGGGACCTTAATCTGTTTAGTGACTTCCAGGTCAGCCATGGCAAGTCGTGTCCAGTGGGGAGACTTTCCTTCAGAGGTAGTAGTAGAGTGGGCGCCTTTTCTTTCCAAAGATCGAGTCTCGCCTAAGATGGGTTGTCTGTTGCCGGGGGATTCACGCTGTTCAAGAAGCTTCGGCGGCTTTGCGGTGCAGAGGAGCATTCGAAAATTGGGTGTCGGGGATCTTGTTGTTTTTTACCCATTTCGACAGAACTTGCCACTTATCTGCGGATTTCAAATGGGGCGATACCTGCAAGTGGATAAAGCATACTAAACGGGGTCGACTTTAAACAGCCCGTAATAATCCGACAGGTTTGATTGAGTGGTTTATCCACTTACTTGGCGTGAGCTGATCGGCTCCATACCAGACAGGCATATTCGCCGTTTGAAAAGCACAGTGCCAGTCTAGACGACCGTAGTACTGTTGGTGAGACTCCCCATTTGGTGGACGTTAGTCGATGAAGGAGGTTATTACGGCTGGTAACTTTTTTCCTCTCACCTTCGCAATTTGCCTTGTGGTTTAGTGCACTGTCAATAATCACTCTTAGGTACCTCGGATGCGCACAGTAAGTGATTGGCCCTCCTTCCCACGATACGTTGAGGGTGCGGTTGGCCTGATGATCACGCAGGTGGAAGGCACAAGTCTGTGTCTTTGTAGGGTTAGGTTTCAGTGCATCATCAATGTAGTACTGGTTTAGAACTGTGAGTGCAACCTGAAGGTGTCTTTCTACTTCTTCAAACGACTTAGCTTGCAAAGCCAGGGCCAGATCATAAGCGTAAATATAACGGTGCGTGTAGATGGCTGATCTGGTATATGTGTTAAATAAGAGAGGGACGAAAACTCTTCCCTGAGGAAGACCGTTTTTCTGAGATTGCTATCTACTTTTGTCCCCTGGCAGGTGCACCTGAAACCGCTCGGTTGTAGCCTTTTCAGAACCTTTACATAATTTTGAACTTATACCGTTTCGCCCACTTTATAGAGTAGTCTTTTCAGGTTCACGGTATCGTAGGCAGTAGACAAGTCGACAAACACCTGTTTGCGATATGCTGCCTGAGATTTAGGGTTTGACTGCAGCATGACTTGCCTGCTTCTGTATAAGTTTGTATTATTATAGCATACGCTCAAACAGTTTGTGTATATGGCAGAGCAAAGAGATGGGTCTATAGCTTTTCGAGTTCTTTACTCGGTTTGCCTGGTTTCAGTAACGCAATAATTTTGGACTTTCTCCATAGCCGGGGGATTTTAGCCATAGCAAGGCAGCCGTTGGAAAGCTGTAGCAGCCACGAGACAGCAGCGGGGCCCAGATGTTGGATTTGCTCAACAGAGATAATTATTGTCAACGCCTAAGGCTTTACCAACTTTTAGGGGTTTGATAGCTATGAAAATATCCCCAAGAACAAAAGGCTTGCTTATAGCGTCATTGTTTGATCCAGCGTGAGCGTGAGTCGGCGCCCTCGCAGGATCCCCTCATCCTGCTTGTCGCTTTAAGGGTTTACCGTTTAGTAGCAACTGGTGCGCTATTTGATTAGCCGAAACTAGGTCAGGAGTAGAGGCTTGTGGGGGTTCACTCGTAAGACTTCGTATGGTTGACCATGCTTCTTTGCTGTTGTTCGTCATGTTGATGCTGGTAACGGTTCTGGTCCATTTTTCGCGGCTTGACTCGCTGATTTGTGACAGAAATTGTTCTCCTAGCTGCAGGGTTTCCTTTGAAAAACGATAATTGTTGAAAGCGGCGTCGTATAGCTTCAGTAAACCGACTGATTCACGTTGGAGATCTAGGATATAAGATGTATAACAACCCCTGGGGATGAATTTCCTGGACGTAGTGGTAACTGTGTCGACAAACAGATTATAGTTTCTGGATCTGGTAGAAGATTTAGACATTTTTCATGTTGGCGTACTGTTCCCAGTTTGCCTTCGTGTAGTTAAAGCGGCGTATAAAGGGTAAAGTGACGGGACAAACAACCGGGCGGATGAGACAAAGTAGGGGCCTGTGTTGGATTTGAGCTGGCTACGTATTTCAATGCTTGAGTGCTGACACCTGAGCTGGTAAATACGAGTCCCGGGTTGTAAAATATATTAAAATTTATTAGGAAAAAGTCGCGAATGTGTATGGGTTTTCTTAAAATATCATAACGTACCATAGTAAATGTTCTAATCTGCCACATTCGGAAATTTGCTACAGCGAAATACTCATTGCGACAAGCATGAGGCTGTAGCAAATTTACGAATACGACAAATTCATTACTTTACTATGGTAAAAATATTTATTTTGGCTATATCAGATACCATAGCAAACATGCGAATATGACAGATTCGTTAGTTTGAAATGGTGAAAATGATAATTTTGCTTATATCATATACCATAGCAAAATGCGAATATGACAGTTTCGTAAGTTTGCAATGGTGAAAACAATGATAACGCCCAAATTAAATACCATAGGAAAACAGCGAATATAGCATTCGTAAAATTACCATGGTCAATTTTTGAAAAAACCAGCAAATTCGCTAATTTACTACGTGGTAATTCCTGAACGAAAGCAGATAGAGATATGAAACTTTGCAAGGACGTGTAACTGATATTTGTGACTAGTGTCCCGTAAAAAACCGGATTTCTCAAAATTGGCAGATTCATTACTTTAACATGGAGGTGACGATATAACCTCCTTAAATAACAAAAAAGTAAATACTGGCAGGTAAAGCCCAGACATTAGATAAAATAAAAAAGTAAAAATAAATTATCTGCTCTTCTTATTTTAAAAATAGAAGTCATTTGTTTTCATCTTATCGGAGCGTGGTGAGCAAAATGGATAAAATTGAAATTCGAGCCGTGATAAAATATCTCTGCCTGAAAAATTTTACTACTGAGCAAGTAAATCTTGAGTTGCAAGCAACCTTAGGAGTTAATGCTCCTCCGTATTCTACGGTTGCGCGGTGGTGTGCCGAATTTAAAAGAGGAAGAACTTCAACTAAAGATGACCCGCGCTCGGGTCGCCCTACGACGGCAGTTACCGAACAAATGGTTAAAAGAGTTGAAAAAATTGTTTTGACAGACCGTCGTGTTACAGTGCGTTTTATAGCTGAGGAACTAAAGATTTCGATTGGAAGCATCCATACTATAATACATGAACATTTGGGCATGAAAAAAGTATCGGCGCGTTGGGTACCTCGAATGCTTACAGACGAGCAGAAACAAACAAGACTGAGGATTTCTCAAACCAATTTGAAATTATTACAACAAGATCCTGAACGATTTTTGGCTCGTTTCGTAACTATGGATGAAACATGGCTCCATCATTACGATCCTGAGACAAAACAACAGTCCATGACTTGGAAAAGGCCGTCATCTCCAACGCCTAAGAAATATAAGGTAATTCCATCCGCCGGTAAGATCTTGGGCTCTCTTTTCTGGGATTGCCAAGGGGTGATAATGATTGAATATCTCAATCATGGAGCCACTATTACTGGGGCTTTATACGCAGAACAAGTAAAAAAGTTGCGTCAAGAAATACGCGAAAATCGCCGCGGCAAACTTGCTAAAGTTGTGTTGTTTCACCAAGATAACGCCCCCGCACACAAGTCCCGAGTTGCGATGGCTGCTATCCAAGATGCTGGATTTGAATTGATGGAACACCCTCCATACTCACCAGACCTTGCACCCAGTGACTTCTACCTGTTTCCACGGTTAAAAGAACACCTGAGAGGTCACAGATATGCCAACGATGAGGAAGTGATCGCCGCCGTACATGATTTTTTAAGGGATCAAGATGAAGACTTTTTTAAGAAAGGAATCTTAGGTTTAGAAAAGCGATATATCAAGTGCATAAACCTTAATGGTGACTATGTCGAAAAATAAAATAATAATAAATAAAATATTACTGCTTCATATTCATTATCACTTTTTATTGAACACCCCTCGTAGGTATACAATTTTTGGAAAACTTGCAATATTTTCTAGTGATGGGCCGAACATAGGTTCCACCGAATACGAATATTCGGTCAAATATTCGGTAAATATTTTGCCGAACCGAATATTCGGCCGAATAATTCGGCAGGAATCGATATCCACATAAAATAATTAGAAGCAGCATTTGTTAACGAATTACTAGCTGATTCGCACCAGACTACTCCGCTCTTTACCACTTCAACTTTTTACATTGAAAATGTTGACAAAAAATTAAAATAAAACTGCTTGTCTGCTGACTTGACATAACAATTTACAATGCAATACATATGAAAAGGATAAATTTTTGTCGGTCAAATATTCAGCGTTTACCGAACATTCGGCCGAAACCGAATATTCGGTAAATGTGCCGAACATGCCGAATACCGAACATTGACCGAATATTCGGCCCATCTCTAATATTTTCCACCGCAGGCGTGATTTGAACCTGCGACCTTCGGCATTTGTACTGCCCACGCCACTACCAACAGGGCTACCGCGGTTCTAATATAGCCTGCGAATTAAGCAAGTATATCTTGTCCACTAACGCGTGGATGGGCTCCATCTACCGGGATAGTTTTTGCGGTAGTGTCGTCGGCAGTACAGATGCCAAAGGTCGCAGGTTCAAATACTGCCTGAGGTGGAAAAAACTTGCAAGTTTAAAAAAAAAGTTGCCTGTTTGAAAGGCGTAGGTATGTTACATAGGAGACCGTAGTAAGTTTCTGTAGTATTATCCGCATTGCTGGCTTTTATAGGAGATGTTTTCGTTGGTGTAGCATCTTCTTTATTTATGTTTTCTTGGTGTGGCAGGTTTGGTGTAACTACAGATGATACAGTTGCAGATGATACAGATGTGACATTACATTATTTATATTATCGTACAGATTGAAAGTTTTGATGCTGCTTCATTTAACGACATTGTGTATTGTAATTGTTGATATGACTCTAGGAGATGTGTCTTTCTTTAAAAATACGGGTCTGTGGCCTATTGTTCTAAATGTGCAAACATTACATATTTTTCTTTTTGATTTCAAATGTCGGTGGGTGAATCAAAGATGGAAATTTACTGGTTATTGGCAACCGATCATTACAAGGAAAGGAACTTGAGCAATATTTACTTGCGCCCCCGGCTTTTCCACTGGGTCTTCAATATCGATTGTTCGAGGAAAAATGGAAAGTGAGTGTCCGTGCCAGTTCGATCTTGTATTACTGTTGAAACATCTCTCGGGGTCTTGAATAACAGTGGGTCAATATAAAACGAAATTTCCATATCCATCTCAATGTCATGTTCTGTAGAAACTTAACGAATTGCTCCGTCAACTACATCAAATAATTTTACTTGCCCTTCATTTTTAATATGTGTCAAATCAATTCAGCGAGCTAGAGTACCAGATGTAGACCATCAGAACCTCATCTTAACTACAAGAGATACGAAAATGCTTGCTCGTTTAAAGGTATAAGATGAGGTCCTGGTGGTCTACATCAGGTACTCCAGAACCTCGACGTCAATCTGTTAACAGGAGTGGTCCATCATGCTAAAAAGCATTTGCTATGGAGACATTTCTGTATATTTTATGGATTGGATGCGGTTCTGGTGGTCTACTCCAGACTCTCGGTGTCCATGTGCCAGCAGAAGCGGCCTATCATGCTAAACAACTTTTCCTTTGGAGCCAATTATTGCTGTATGTCGTACAGCTTAGGCAATCTGGCTTGTCTAGCTAGCTGTTAAGTTATGTGTAAGATACCCGAAAAAGACACTTTTCCGATTGAAATAATTACCTCGTGGTTTGGTTTTATACAGATGAACTTAAAAACAAAATAAGTAAGAATATGACATTTGACTTAATGAGTTACGTTTTCACATCAAAGTATGTTTTGTGACTTCAACAATAAAATATTTATATCTCAAAAACTGGTCATTTTTGTTCGCTGATTTTTTAAAATTTTGATGAGAGCATTACCTACGTACGCCTTTCTCCAAAATTTCAGCCAATTTGACCGGACGGCCCTTGTCGAACAAATCGTGCGGGGTCCTTTATTTTCGGTTCACCATTTGTAAACAGTTACAGAGGTCTGAATACGGTTAAATCCAAAGGCTGGAGAAGCTGTGTGGCATTGGGATAGAGAGAAATGAGCGTTATATTGTGCCCTCTACAAAAGTTACTCAGTATGGTAACGTTGTGTGGGAACAATGCCCGTCTAAAAAGAATATAATTGGCAGTTCAATTTCATTTCTTGGTACAAAGAAATGAAATTGAACTGCCAATTATATTCTTTTTAGACGGGCATTGTTCCCACACAACGTTACCATACTGAGTAACTTTTGTAGAGGGCACAATATAACGCTCATTTCTCTCTATCCCAATGCCACACAGCTTCTCCAGCCTTTGGATTTAACCGTATTCAGACCTCTGTAACTGTTTACAAATGCCTGTTAATTTTTATATATTTCATCATTATACCTCTGGGGACCCCGCTAGATAGATACACACCTTTGTACCCAGAGGTAAAAGATGTTAGTCATATATTCGTAGAAAGCCTCTCTCGTCGTCCATTCCTTCTGGGTGTGCCCTAGCCTGCAACCTTCCGGTGCCAAATTCGAAATTTTCGATGGAACTTCATTAGAATATTTGAATAATACTGCTGGCAGAGCTATCTCACCCGCTGCATTGGCGGTCAATAAAACAGTAACGCAGTCTTTTCCTCCACCAGGCGTAACGTTATAATAGTAGTTTATGCAACTGCCTAATAATGAGAGGCTTTAGGATGAGAGTGTCTGTTTATCACACGAGGCGCAGCCGAGTGTGATAATAGTTTGACACGAGCATTCTAAAACCTAATTATTTGCAGTTGCATACACTATTTTATCTACGCTCTACAAGAAAAACTATGAAAAATAATTCAAACCTCCGCACTGCACTATGGCGATTGCAAGCCTATCTACTGAACCACCAACTGAACGACTTTTGTACATAAGTAACTTTTTAACTAAACGTTAAAATGGAGGCTCATAAAAACTGAACAACTTTTAAAATTAAAAAGCATTTATCGGTGAATTTTAATTCGAAAAATGATTTGAAACAAAGATTTAATAATAAATAAGTCCTCATAATTTTAAGTTTCGCTTCAATGGCTCTCGCTATTGTTGGCAGAAACACTCTCTACAATACTCAAAGCCGCTTATGTTCTGTAAGGCAAAAGTAACATAAATATGTAAGTATGTTTAAAACAGTATTAGGAAGTTTTGATCGATGCTTAAAGTAACAAGTAGTCCGAAACTGTCTCGCTAATTTAACACTTGGAGATATTTATCTACAGGGAGTAACAGAAAGGGTATAACAAGCCGAAAGGAGGTCAAGGTACTCATGAAACTGAACAACTTTCCCCATAGAAAATGGATCGAAATTAGGAAAAAAATTGGACCTCCCACTCCCATACAAAATCACCGATCAGCTAATTGATTTATTATGGAATGTCCAGTTTTTTTTTATATTCCGACCCATGTTCCTTTGGGAAAGTTGTTCAGTTTCATGAGTACCTTAATCTCCTAATAGGCTTTATATACCCTTTCCGTTACTCTCGGTATATAGGGTGAAATTTTACTAGTGACCGATAGCGAAAACTCAAAACCGGCTGGTGATAAGGAATAACTTTCCCCAACCCAAGGAACATAGGTCGAAATAAGAAATAAAAATTTTGGACCTCCCATAGTAACTGAAATCAGCTGTTCGGCAAGTTTGCATGGAAGGCCCAATTTTTTTTTTCGAATATAGACCTATGTTCCTTGGGGAAAGTGGTTCCTTATCACTAGCCGGTTCCGAGTTTTCGCTATCGGTCACTAGTAAAAATTCACCCAGTATACAAAAAAAAACAAGAAACTAAGAATAAGGACCCCGACTCTAATTATAACAATTTTGTGCCACATTACCTCTAGTAAAATTAAACTTATCCGTTTACGTGCAAACGTGGCTGGCTACGTGTCTAGGGCGCTGATATTTGCTTGCAGCAGTGATCTGAGCTGAGGCACTCATTACTAATAGACAGCAAGCTGGTATGCTTGTAAATGCAAGAAGAAAAGCACTTGTAGCACCGATGTGAGCTGATACATACACATTACACAATTATGTGATTGGTAAATCATAATAAAGAGCAACAGAACTTTTGCTTACGAAAGTGGAAATATTAGGTCAAATTAAAGACCGATCGCGGCGGCGTTGTAGTGCGCCGTCAACGTGACAGCGTCGTTTATAGTATGTAGGGCGTGCCGGCCGGTCTTTCTGGCAAACCAGTCATACTATGAACGACGCTGCCACGTTGATGGTGCACTACGACGCCGCCTTGCTCGATCTTAATTTTGACAATTTGGACATACAGAAAGTACAACTTATGCATAAATTATAATTTTAGTCATCTCACTATAATACATTACGCTATTTTAATAAAAAAATCTTTAAATATTATAAACTTATAATTCCGGATCAATATTACCTGCTTCTCGGTATAATAGTTTCCTACCAGCCCCTCGCCCAGGTTAATATTGATGTCTAAAAACTATATTTTAACAGGTACAACTTTTCACTTAAGCAAACATATTAAATATGTAAATTTTTACGCTAGTAGTATCATAAATATGTGATAGCAAGATGTTGTGTATTCCATAAAATATTAGCATTACTTTCACGTAAACTAAGCTAAGGTACCTCTGTTAGTTTCGTCAGGCTCCTGGTGGTCTACATCAGGTACTCCAGACCCACAATGTAAATGTGCCAGCAGAAGCGGCCAATCACGTTGAATTACTTTTGCTATAGAACCGTTTTGTATCTCGTGTAGTTTGGCTGGGCTCTTGGTGGTCTACGTCAGGTACTCCAGACCCTCGATGTATATGTGCCAGCAGAAGCGGATAATCATGTTGAATAACTTTTGCTATGGAACCGTTTTGTATCTCGTGAAGTTTTGCTGGGCTCTTGGTGGTCTACGTCAGGTACTCCAGACCCTCGATGTATATGTGCCAGCAGAAGCGGATAATCATGTTGAATAACTTTTGCTATGGAACCGTTTTGTATCTCGTGAAGTTTTGCTGGGCTCTTGGTGGTCTACGTCAGGTACTCCAGACCCTCGATGTATATGTGCCAGCAGAAGCGGATAATCATACTGAATAACTTTTGCTATGGAACCGTTTTGTATCTCGTGTAGTTTGGCTGGGCTCTTGGTGGTCTACGTCAGGTACTCCAGACCCTCGATGTATATGTGCCAACAGAAGCGGATAATCATGTTGAATAACTTTTGCTATGGAACCGTTTTGTATCTCGTGAAGTTTTGCTGGGCTCTGGGCTCTTAGTGGTCTACATCAGGTATACGAGGTGTTAGGGACGGTGTAACGAAAACTTTGCAGGCGTGCTCAGACCATGAAACTGAGCAACTTTTACTAATGAGCCTATGGTAAGAAACCAAAAAAAAATTCCGACCTCCCATACAAAGTCAGTCAGCTGATTGTGAATTTTGT